CACTACGGATAACTTGGGTCCTTGCACTTGCAAGGCAGGCAGTGGAACCACTGAGCTAAATCCCTGGCCCTGCACTGTTCTGTTGCTCTACCTTTTCTGGGGCCCTAAGAATCTTGTAGATGCAGAGAATTTCAAGTCCCTTGAAGTGACCAAGTTTGACATGTCTGGAAGGAGATGCACGCTGTCTGCAGCCAGGCAGATGAGTCATAAGCATCCTTGGAAGTGTGGGGAAGGGAGGGTCGGTCCCCAAGGCTTCACAGAAGGACAGCAAGGAGAACTGCTCCCTCACTGTGGTTACTCATCTCCAATGTGAGAAAACATCCCTGGTGCAGCCCGCGCTGCCTCACGAGTGTAAGCCCAGCCACGAGGACCATCATGCTCCCTGCCGCTCCCCATCTAGGTCTCCCAGCCTGCTTCACCCATGTAGGACGAAGCTTTCTGGTAGCTTCCAGGACAGAGTCTGAGAGGGGAAAGAAAACTACTTCTTCCTGCTGGCTGGGGAGACCGGGCAAGGGGACAAGGGTGAAAGATGCACCCCGCTGTCTAGCCAGCCAGCGGGGTGTAGACGCAGGAGGGGCCTGAGGGAGAGCTGGATGTGCTGGCTGGAGGCTGAGCTTCCTGTGTCCCCCAGGACTGTGCTCCGGGCTACACGCGCACCGGGAGTGGGCTCTACCTTGGCCATTGCGAGCTGTGTGAGTGCAACGGCCACTCCGACCTGTGCCACCCGGAGACCGGGGCCTGCTCGGTGAGGTGCACGGGACCTGGGCGGGGCAGGGTGGGGGTGACAGGCATCAGTGGGCCCGGTCAGCCAGGGTCTGGGGGGGTGGCCAGAGCTGCAGGGTGCCACCCTGTGTAGAGGGAGCTTTGGTTCTCAGCGTTCTCATCCAAGCTGGTACGTGTTCTCTGTAGGGGTCAGGTCACTGAGATGAGTGAAAAGGAAAATTAAAATCCTTATCTTCCTGGCGCTGAGAAGACTCACTCACAATGAGTGAACAGCCCGCCTGCCCCTTTTGTAGCCTCATACATGCTTTTTTTGTGTGTGTGTGAGGGGCTTGAACCCAAGGCACTCCTGTCCTTTTTTATTTTATTTTGAAACAAAGTCTAGCTAAGTTACCCAGGCTGACTTCAAACTTGCAGTCTTACTGACTCAGCCTTTGGAGGAGCTGGGATGACAGGTGTACACCAGCACCTTGGACTACTGACACTTTTTGTGTTTGTTTTGTTTTGTTGGTACCTGGGATTGAACTCAGGACCTTGCGCTTGCAAGGCAGGCGTGGAGCTAAATCCACATCCCTTATTGACACTTTTTAAATACACTTTCCGTTTACAAATCAACACAGGATCTTTTTTTTTTTTTTTTTTCCTTTTCTTTTCTTTGAGCCAGGATCTCCCCATGTACTTAATCTGGGACAGCTATGAACTCGCAGTGTAGCCCAGGCTGGCCCAGGCTCCATCCCATATTTTTTTAGACCCGTGCTTTTCAGAATGGTGTGTGTAGAACCCACCAGGTACAAGCCAGGGCTGGGAGGTTGACAGAGCCGCAGCTAAACATGGGCCAAAGCACCTGCCCTGTTAATACAGCAAACCCGGTGTCTTTGAGGAGCCTGTAACCCACAAGTTTCTGTGATGAGGCACACGTTTCAAAGCTTTGTCCCTGTTACCCAGGTGTGCACCTTGCCTTTGATATTAGAGGTTTTGTATAAAAAATTGTAAGAAGTACAGCCAACATCATCCTTTTTTTAAACATCCTTTTATTTGTTTTTTAATATTTATTTATTTATTTATTTTTGGTACCAGAATCAAACTCCAGACCTTGCACTTGCAAGGCAGGCGGCAGCACCACTGAGCTAAATCCCTGGCCCAACATTATCCTTTTAATAGCTGTTTGGGTGCAGGTATTTTGTGATTTACTCAGCTTCCAATTTATAGGCCTTTAGGTTTATTTTGACATCACCAACAGAAGTATCTTTTTAATGAAATCTCTGCATTCTCCTTAATTATTTGAGACAATTCACAAGCTTGGAGTTTCTAGATCAAGGGATCGCGAGATCGAAAGGCTTTGGGTAAGTATGGCCCAGGGGCGGGAGTCTGATCCCCTGTGCCCCGCAGCAATGCCAGCACAACGCTGCCGGGGAGTTCTGCGAGCTGTGTGCTCCTGGCTACTATGGAGATGCCACAGCCGGGACGCCAGAGGACTGCCAGCCCTGCGCCTGCCCACTGACCAACCCAGAGAACATGTGGGTGCCTTTGCTCAAGGCCCAAGGACCACCACCCACTGGGGTGTGGAGGGAGCAGGGCGGGCGTGGGCTTCTGGTGACCTGACCCTTGGCTCCCTGCTCCAGGTTCTCCCGCACCTGTGAGAGCCTGGGGGCCGGCGGGTACCGCTGCACAGCCTGTGAGCCCGGCTACACCGGCCAGTACTGTGAGCAGTAAGTTTACAGACGGGAAGTCGGGGGGCCCTGATGCAGATACATACTCGGGGCCTGTGATCAGTTCCCTGAGAAGAGCACAGCCTACTCCAAAGGCTGTAACGGTGTGGAGGTCTTGTCCCCTGGGATGCCTCTGATCTCAGAGCCAGGGTCAGTGTCCTGCTCTGTGTCCTCATAGCCCTGATATGTTCCCCTCACTCTTGTTTTACATAGAGTTTCCATGTTGGTTTTCCAACTAGAAATTTCCACCAGTCCACAGTCTTCATCATGTTCACCGTTACGTCTGTAGCTCCTAGCATGGTGCCTGCCACTTAGTAGTTGCCTGATAAATGTTTGTTGAGTGAATCTTTCCCTGGAGAATAGAGAAGGGCTTTACCTCCCTCTCTACCCAACCTGCTAATACTCCCTGCTGCTCTCCTTGCCAGCTCACTGAGGCCTCTCTCACCCCCTAAGTCTTTCCAGGATCCCCAAGCCTCCTCGCCCCCCACTAGGCCTCTGATTGACCTTCTTGCTCTCAAGTTCACTGTGAGGCTCTAGGTTCCTCGAAACCCGACAGAACTGGTCCTTGTTCCTCCCAACAGGTGTGCCCCGGGTTATGTGGGTAACCCCAATGTGCAAGGGGGCCGGTGCCTGCCACAGAGTAAGTGATGGGCAAGGCGAGGAATCTGGGGAGTCGGAGGGGTGCAGGGGAGAGGGCAGCAGGGCAGAGATACCTGAGACAGTGCTGCCTGCTGGGGCCCCTGCCTCAATGGCTTCTGCCCCCTCCCACCCCAGCAGACCAGGCCTCGTTGGTGGTCCAGGTCCATCCTGCTCGGAGCGTAGTGCCTGAAGGAGGCTCCCACTCCCTGCGGTGCCAGGCCAGTGGGAACCCACCCCACTACTTCTACTGGTCCCGTGAGGATGGGCAGCCTGTGCCCAGCAGCACCCAGCAGCGACATCAAGGTACCCAAGTCCCCGAGCGTCCCCCAGGGAGAGGGGAGGCATGGGCTGTCCAGGGCCCGCCTGTGGGGCTGGGTGGAGAAGGGAAGGGTACACTGACGAGGCCCTCCCCAGGTGCTGAGCTCCACTTCCCCAGCGTGCAGCCCTCCGATGCCGGGGTCTACCTGTGCACCTGCCGCAGCCTCCACCATGTCAACGCCAGCCGGGCAGAGCTGCTGGTCACTGGTGGGTCCCTTCTCCCCCTGTCCCCAAGATTGCAACCTCCGGCAGAGGTGTGTTCATCTGCCAAGAGGGGCTGATGGATGCCCAGATGAGGACAGTGGCTTCAGAGATGGGTACCGTGGATGGATCAAGACCTGTGTGGGAGGCAGAATCACCACACCTGAGTGGTCCGTGAGGCCGAGGGGAAGGGATTTTGCCTGGGACTGGATTCTAGTGCCTGTGTAAATGAGGTGCTGTTTACTGAGACCCAGAAGGCTCCAGTTGGAAGTGTCTCCATTAGGGCTCCCCCGAAGCAAAGTCTGAGACAGGATTTTTGTGCCAGTACTTCAGGGAGAGGAAGTGAGACAGGGAAGAGAAGGCATCTGAAAAGGGTATGTAATCAAGCAAATTAAGGGCAGGAGCAGGTTTTGCTCCTTGTGGGGTGGAAACCCTGGGAGCCAGTGTAAAACATACACCTCCTAGTCACCCACTGCGTCTCCAGATCTGCGTGTGCCAGGTCGCTGACTGAGGCCAGTTCCAGGAGCATCAAGTCCCCTGTACTCCTCTTACCCGCCCCCACAAGAATGCACAGTGGGCTCCAGGAGTCCCAGAAAGTCCTTATGCGCAGAAGCACAGCTGACAGGAGTCAGGCAGAGGGTACTGGGGTAACCAGGCAGAGGGACGTGGGTGGGGCACCGGCAGCCCTGTTGCCAGCGAGTCAGAGAATCACAAGTTTGCCTTGGACTTGTTAAAGTTGGAGGTGTTTGGGGAGAGTCCTAAGTGTTGCCACGCATTTGGACTTGCAAGTCTGAATTCAGGAAAGAGGCCTTTGCTGGAGAAAGTCATCTGGGAGCTGCTGAGGCAAGGATGGCGTTTCAGGCTGTGGGGCAGGGGAAGTCACCCAGGGAAAGGCATAGCCCAGGGCCCAGGGCAGGGGTAAGATGTCCAGCTGGAGAGGGAAGGGCAGGAAAAGCTGGAGGAAGCAGCCCTGGAGGCGGGAGCCAAAGCCACAGCTGGAGGTTGGAAAGGAGGAAGGGAAAGGGTTGCCAAGAGCCCCACTGCTCACTGCCGCGCCAGAGTAAGATAAGGCAAGGAAACGACTGGAGATTAGGCTGTGACAGCAGCGGCGGTCGGCAGGTAGGAAGAGGAAAGAGTGGAATGAGGGCAGGAAGGTGGCAGATGGAGAAACCTGAAGGGAAGCCATGAAATGACTGGGAAAACAAGGGGTCAAGGAGGCGTTTTCAGAGATGGAAAATCCCAGAACATACTGGTCTGTAGAGCAGAGTGATCTCACAGTAAGGTAGAGGAGAGACTCACGTGGTGTGACAGAGAGAAAGAAGTCCCCAGGCGGGTTCTGCCTCAGACGGTGCAGGGGCCACGGGGATGACAGAAGGGTCCCATCCCTCAGGAGCCAGGAAGGAGGGAGGGAGTGGGGTAGATTGGGGGTTTGAGGGGATGGAAAATTCCTGAGTAGTAGCTTGTGTTTCCTCAACAAGTGTGATTTGAGGCCTTGAGCAGTGACAGTGGAAGGGTGGACGGGGAAGGGAAGAGGTGTGAAATGGTTGTTTGGAGGGAAATTCTACCCAGATGGGGAAACCCGGTGAAGTGTGAAACGTCAAGAGCTCATTTGTGGCCTGTGGTCGTGTTCTGGAGCCGCTTGGCCCAGGGTGCCATTCTCCAGCCGTGCTGTACTGTGTTCAGTGCCAGCAGGGAGGACCCGTGCAGGGCTTGGCCAGGGTGAGGAGGGCGGTACCAGGGGGTAGACAGCATCTCAGGTGGGACAAGAAGGGACTCCAGAGGTGGGACAGAGGCCTGGCCAGCTCTCAGCTCCCCGGGGGTCTTCCCGTGCCCACAGAGGCGCCCAGCAAGCCCATCACGGTGACGGTGGAGGAGCAGCGGAGCCAGAGTGTGCGGCCCGGAGCGGACGTCACTTTCATCTGCACGGCCAAGAGCAAGGTTGGGGGTGAGCCCAGGATGCGGGGGCCTGGGCCCCGGGCCCCACCTCACCCTCGCCGCTTTTGCCCCTCAGTCTCCCGCCTACACCCTGGCGTGGACCCGCCTGCACAATGGGAAACTGCCCTCGCGAGCCATGGACTTCAATGGCATCCTGACCGTCCGCAACGTGCAGCCGAGCGATGCGGGCACCTACGTGTGCACTGGCTCCAACATGTTCGCCATGGACCAGGGCACGGCCACGCTGCACGTGCAGGGTACTCCTTGCCACCACGGCTGACCTCACCCAGAGCTCCCCTCAGGCTCCCCTCAGGCTCTGAAGTCAGAGCGCAGGACGGAACGGCACACAGGGTCTCAGCCCTCCCGGTGCGTGTGTTCCGGTTGAGGCAACCACAGCAAGGGAACAGCTGAACAAACGAGAGAATTGCAGTGCCAGGGTGGGAAAGAGTGGAGGGATGAGAAAGCAACAAGCGGGGTGAGAGGAGAATGGTCTGGTGTGATAGCAAAGCTGAGAGCTGAAGGAAAAGAAGGCATTGAGCCAGTCAGAGAGCTACCAGTGTTCCCAGCAGAGAGAGAAGCTTGTGCAAAGGTCCTGAGACAGAAGCACGTCCATGTGTTTGAGGCACAGAAAGGCTAACCTGGCTAGATCTGTGGGAGGGAGTATAGGTAAAGAGTCTGAAGGTATAGGCAGAGGTGAGAGCGCACAGCATGTGGTGGATTGGGGTGAAGTTATTGAGGCAATAGGAACCAAGGATACTTCCTAAATATGGAAGTAATAAGGTCTCTTTGATGTTTGTTTGGTTTTTGTTTTGTTTTATTCTGTCACATTACTGGGCATTGAACCCAGGCCTTTGCACTGAGCTATCTCCCTAGCCCTTGCTCAGTTGCCCAGGCTGGTATCAAACTTGTAATTCTCCTCCTTCAGCTTCCCAGAGTGCTGGGATCACAGGCATGCAACACCTGACTTCCCATTGATGTTTTAAAAGTTCCCGCCGAAAAGCCTGGTGTGGTAGTGCATGCCTGTAATCGCAGCACTAGGGAGGCTGAGGCAGGAAGATCACAAGTTTGAGCCCAGTGCTGCCCTGTCTAAAGAACTTTAAACGGTCTGGGGATATAGCTCAGTGGGTTCAATCCCCCATACCACCAAAAGAAAAAAGAAAGAGCTCCTCCGGCTACCACGAGGCCAGATGGCCACAGAGGGCTAGAGTGGGAACAGAGGGTGGCTAGGTAACCATTGCTGTGGGCCAGCTGATACTGCCCATCCCAAACACATCTTTCCTGATCCTCATCAGGCTCTAGCACCTCATCTGCTCCTGTGGTCTCCATCCACCCACCGCAGCTGACCGTGCAGCCCGGGCAGATGGCAGAGTTTCGGTGTAGTGCCAGGGGGAACCCCACACCCACCCTTGAGTGGATAGGTAAGAACATGACACTGACGTTGAGGGCCGGCCTGGGCAGGACCAGGGCAGGGGCCAAGTGCCTCAGAGGGCTGGAGCAAGGCTGCTCCCTGGGCTTGCTGACCCCACGTCTCCATCCCAGGGGGCCCCGGGGGCCAGCTCCCTCCGAAGGCACAGATCCATGGGGGCCTCCTGCGCCTGCCAGCTGCCGAGCCTTCAGATCAGGGCCAGTATGTGTGCCGCGCCCTCAACAGTGCTGGGCAGCACATGGGCAGGGCTGTCCTCCAGGTGCACGGTGAGTGGGCCAGGCTGAGCAAGGGGCTGGGACCCAAGCCTGGGTCCAGGGCAGCTGGGAGGTTCTCAAACTGCTCTGTCTGCAGGCAGCAATGGGCCCAGGGTCCAGGTAAGCCCAGAGCGCATCCAGGTGCACGAAGGCCACACCGTCAGGCTATACTGCAGGGCCACAGGGGTGCCCACTGCCACCATCACCTGGAGGAAGGAGGGCGGCAGCCTGCCCCCACAGGTGAGGGGCCTGCCCTGCCAGGTCCACGGGCTCATCGTCACCAGCCCACCTGCCCTTCCACATCCTGCCCACCTCCTCGCTGGCTCCCTTCCCCTCCTGCACCCCACAGGGAGCTCAGCTACTTCTGCCCTTCCTAGTCCGCCCTCCTCGGCACCCTCTGGACCTTGACCCTGTGTCACTGCCTGTCCTGACCCTGTCTGCCCCTCCGCCCGCCCTCCTTGGCTCACCCTTGCCCACTGCCCCTTGGGCGGCTAAGCCTCTCTCCGCATGGCAGGCCCGGTCTGAGCGCATGGACATCTCCACACTGGTCATCCCGGCCATCACATCTGCCGACGCCGGCTTCTACCTCTGTGTGGCCACCAGCCCCACTGGCACAGCACAGGCCCGCATCCAGGTGGCCGTCACGTCAGGTGTGGAGCCTCTGGGGACCGAGGGAGTGGGAAGGCGGGCCAGGGCTCCCCTGAGCTCAGCTTACCCTCTGCTGACCCCAGCCTCAGGTGCCAGCTCAGTGCCGGTCAGGATTGAATCTTCATCACCAACTGTGACCGAAGGGCAGCTGCTCGACCTCAGCTGTGTGGCGGCCGGGTTTGCCCACTCCCAGATCACGTGGTACAAGCGAGGGGGCAGCCTGCCTCCCCATGCTCAGGTAGGAGGCTCCCTCACCCAAGCTGGACCCTGGATAGGGTGGAGCTCTGGCTGGGGTGGCTGCCGTGCACATGGAAGGTCCCTCTGCCTTGCACGCCGCAGCAGCCAGGGCCAGCTCCATCCCCAGGAGTTTGATGGCTGAACCAGGAAGGCCCAGAGGGAGCGGTGGCTTCAGCCCTTTCCCGGTCTTCACATACCATTGCCCACCTGCTCCAGGTCCATGGCTCCAGGCTGCGGCTCCCACAGGTCTCACCAGCAGACTCCGGAGAATATGTGTGCCGAGTAGAGAGCGAGGCGGGTGCCAAGGAGGCGTCCATTGTGGTCTCTGTGCTCAACAGTGCCCAGCTGGGCCTCAGCCGAGGTGAGGAGATGCTTGGGCCGTCCCTTCCACTGGGACGTCAGGACGGGGCACAGTCCAGACAGGCTCTGACCCTCTGCTGCCTGCTTGGGACTGAGAGGCTGGGGCGGGATGAGGCTGGTCCAGGCTCCCTGGCCCCACATGCAAGGGTGTGGTTTCGGGTGTCGGCAAACAGCAGTGTTGCGGTCCCTGCCTGAGCTGGGAGCTGGGCTGCCCTGGGAGCAAATCCTGACTCGGCCATTTGTCAGCCTTGATGCAGTCCTTTGCCTTTGGGGGCTTCAGTTTTCTCATCTGGAAGGGTGCTCTCCAGATCTGCAGGCTAAGGATGTAGTGTAGAGGAGCTGGGGTCCGAGAGAGCACTGGGGCATGTGGTGAACAGCAGGGAGGAAGTGGGATCTGTACTGTCTGTGACTTCCGGGGCAGCCTGGCAGTGACGGTCTTGGGCTCGCCACAATCTGGCTGTCAGGAGGCCACTCTTGGCAGAGGGGCCCAGAGCCTGCGTTGGAGGTGGGCATGAAAGAAAGGCTCCTCTGGCAGGCCAGAAAAGTGGTTCCCTTCCAAGCTAGGGCCTGGTCACCTCCCATAGCCTCTGACCCGCACCTCTGTGCTCAGTGCCTGGCAGCACCCAGCCCATCCACATCGAGTCCTCCTCCTCCCACGTGGCCGAGGGGCAGACCCTGGATCTGAACTGCGTGGTGCCTGGGCAGGCACAGGTGACCTGGCACAAGCGTGGGGGCAGCCTCCCTGCCCGGCACCAGGTACTGTGGCCCTTGGGCCAGCCCGCTGCGGGGGTGGGATGGGGCTGTTCCAGCGCGCCCCCCCCGCGCCAACCTTGCCTGTTTGCACACAGACCCACGGCTCGCTCCTGCGGCTACACCAAGTGTCCCCTGCTGATTCTGGCGAGTATGTGTGCCATGTGGTCCTCGGCTCTAAGCATCTGGAGACCTCTGTCCTGGTCTCCATCAAGCCCTCTGACTCCATCCCTGGTGAGTGACTGACGACATGGAAAGCTGGCGATGCTGAGCGCCTTAGGAAGGGGTGACTCCTGTTGCCATCTAGGGGCAGGAGGCCCACCCGGAGCTCTGTCTGAGTGCTCTGCCGTCTTCCCATCACGCTTTCCCTGGCTGCCTCACTGCCCTGGTTTCTGCTCCTGCCCTGCCTCCTCCTATCTTCTGACCTCACCTCCACTCAGCCCATGCCTTGGTCCTCTGTCGAGTTGCTGGGCAGATCTCTAGAATGGGCCAGCTTCGGGGTGGGGGACTTCCAGCTCTTCCAAGAGCATTTGCTACCCTCACCTTTGTCCCCACAGCCCCAGCACCTGTCCCACCTATCAGGATCGAGTCTTCATCCCCCACAGTGACCGAGGGGCAGAGCCTGGATCTCAGCTGCATGGTGGCAGGGCAGGCGCATGCCCAGGTCACATGGTACAAGCGTGGGGGCAGCCTGCCTGCCCGGCATCAGGTACTCATGCCTGGAACAGTGGGCTCCCCAGCTAGGGGGCTGGCAGTTCCCAGACCAGGGAATAGGATTCGGTTATCTGCTGGGGGCTGGGAAGCCCTCTCATACCTCTGCCCCCACTGCACAGGTCCGTGGCTCCCACCTGTACATCTTCCAAGTCTCCCCAGCAGATGCTGGAGAGTACGTCTGCCGGGCCAGCAGTGGTGCGGAGGCCTCCATCACAGTCACAGTGACCAGGACCTACCGTGAGTGGGGTCGGCAGGCAGGACGGCATGCAGGAGAGGCTGGGCTGCTTTAGAGAACCAGGGTAACCGGGGACCTCTTCTCTCCCAGCTACGGGTAGCACCCAGCCCATCCGCATCGAGTCCTCCTCCTCCCACGTGGCCGAGGGGCAGACCCTAGATCTGAACTGCGTGGTGCCCGGGCAGGCGCATGCCCAGGTCACGTGGCACAAGCGTGGGGGCAGCCTGCCCGCTCAGCACCAGGTAAAGGGGCTGGAGAGTGGAGAGACTGAGAAGAGGAGGTCACTGTGCGGTGGGCGGGGGGTAGGGGGCCCCTCGGAGGCAAGGGAGGCCTTGGGCCCCTTCCCACAGGCACACAATGCAGTGGCTACAGCCTGGGGCCTAATAGGCCCAACCAGCCTGCTGTGAATCCATACCCCACCTCATCAGCCGTGACCACAGGCAAGTTACTTAACCTACCTGTGCCAAAGCTTCAGCTGCGAAACAGAATTGTCTGGGGATCAAGTTAAATAGTGTATCTACAGAGTGCTCAGAGCCGCAGCCCTGAGCTATCATGGTTATCACAGTACCTTTAGCTGTGGTTACACTATCTTGTAGAGAGGCACCATTATTTCATGTAGTGAGTGGGAGGGGCATCCACTGAGAACTGGCAGAGATCCTCTGTCCGAGGTGCAGTTGACTCGGAGTGTGTGCCTGGCGGTGCTGTGTTCTCAGGGGCTCCTCCTGTGCACCCTGGCTCCTGGGCAGTTCCCTCTCCGCACCAGGCAAGCAGAGAAACTGCCTCGGGCTCGGGAAGTGCTGTCGGTCACAGGTTGGCATGGAGCCCTCTGACCTCACCCCCTATCCGCAGACCCACGGCTCCCTGTTGAGGCTGCACCAGGTGTCCCCTGCCGACTCGGGCGAGTATGTGTGCCAGGTGGTGGGCAGCCCTGTGCCGCTGGAGACCTCCGTCCTGGTTTCCATTGAGCCAGTGGGCTCTGTGCCTGGTGAGTAGGACTAGGAGGGCTGGGCCACCCAGGGGTTCCCACTCCGGCCATGATGGGATCAGGAGGCCAAGCATCAGTCTGCATCTCCCACGAGGCCAGTATCCCCGACCCCCTTACATCATCTCTTCTCACCCCCTGCCGACTGACCCCTGCCCTCCGTCACCAGCACTCGGTGTCACCCCCCCAATCCGGATCGAGTCGTCCTCCTCCCATGTGGCCGAAGGGCAGACCCTGGACCTGAACTGCATGGTACAAGGGCAGGCCCAAGCCCAGATCACCTGGCACAAGCTTGGGGGCAACCTGCCTGCCCGGCACCAGGTAGGACATGGAGTGCAAAAGAGGAACATTGAAGACTCTCGTAACTGCAGAATAAGAAGCACAGGCTTGAGCGTGGAGTAGCTCAGTGGTTATTGCTTGGTTAGCATGTACAAAACCCTGGGTTCAGCTGGGTGTGGTGGCACAGGCCTATAATCCCAGCATCTCAGGAGGCTGAGGCAGGAGGGTTGTTAGGAGTTTCAAGACTAGCCCGGGCTCCATAGTGAGTTCAAGGCCAGGCTGAGCCACATAGTGAGACCCTGTCAAAAAAAACAAAAGAAAGAAAAAATAATCCCTGGGTTTAATCTCAAGTGCCACAAGAAAGAAAGAAGGGAAGGAGGGGAAAAATTGAGGTATATTTGAGTTGAGACACTGCTTTGCCACTTGCCCCTTGTGTGTGACCTTAAGCCAGTTGCTTGACTTCTCTGTTGTGTGTGTGTGTGTGTGTGTACTGGGGATCCAACTCTGGTCTTTATGCTTTCGAGGCAGGAGGCGGAACCATAGAGCTAAATCCCTGGCCCCACTTCTCTGGTCTTTAATGTCTTCATCTGTCAAATGAAGGGCTCACACTGCCTACCTCCCTACCCTTAGCATATGAACAAATGCTGTCCCCTACTTTTCCCTGACGCGAGATCTTAGTGGTCTGGCATGGATGAGGTGGCAGGCTGGGCCCTGTCCTAACTCTGGGGCAAGGACTTTGAAGGGTTATGAAGGGTGCTGCTTCTTGGAAGAGCTCCCATCAAGCTCTTACTGGCAGGGCCAGGAGAGGACCAGAGAAAGGGACAGGAGCCTGGCCCAGCTCTGAGCTTGCCACCTCTGTCCCACCTGTGTAGGTACACGGCTCCAGGCTGCGGCTACCCCAGGTGACCCCCGCCGACTCCGGGGAGTACGTGTGCCGCGTGACCAGTGGCTCAGATACCTACGAGGCCTCGGTCCTGGTCAGCATCCAGCAGCGCCTCAGCCCCTCCCAGAGTGAGTGTCTCAGGGGTTGGGGCTGATGGTGGGGGCTGCCTGGGGCTCAGTACCCCCCAGGCCACACTGACACCCCGCCTTTTTCACCTTCCCAGCCCAGAGTGTGTTGTACCCCATCCACATTGAGTCCTCCTCAGCCTCGCTGGCCAATGGGCACACCCTGGACCTCAACTGCCTGGTGGCCACCCACACCCCCCACACCATCACCTGGTACAAGCGGGGAGGCAGCTTACCCAGTCGGCACCAGGTGCGGAGCCACTGGGCGGAGTGGACGCGGGATCTTGTGGGAAGTTTAAGAGGCTCTCAGCACCTCACTCTGTGCTCATTTAGTCGGTCACTTGGCAAACACCGAGCGTCCTCGTAGTCAGGCCTGGTTTGGTGCTGATGATACAGAGCTATGTACTACTGACCTCAGTTAGATTCGCTGACTCACTCACTATTCCCCAGATGCTGCAACAGGTCATGTCCCGTGCCCAGCACTCATTCCCAATAGATAAGACGGGCCCTGGCTAGGCATGGTGGCACACGTATACAATACCAGCCATTCAGAGACCGTCTCAAAATAATAATAAAATAATAATAATAATAGGAAGGGAGGGGCTGGGGATTCAGCTTAGTGGCACCATGCCTCCACCTTTCAAGTTCAATCCCTGCCACCAAAACAAACTGAGGCAGGACGATCACAAGTTTAAACCTCGTCTTGGTAGTTTAACAACCTGGTGAGACCCTGTCTCAAAATTAAAAACTTGAGGGCCAGAGATGTAGCTTAGTGGTGCCGCACCTGCCTACCTGGCAAGCACAGGGTCCTGAGTTTGATCCCTAGTACTGCAATCAATCAATCAATATAAAAAATTTAGGGTTGGGGATTCAGCTCAGTGGCACCACCGCCTGCCTCACAGGTGCAAGGTTCTGAGTTCAATCCCTAGTCCCAAATAAATAATTTAAAAAGGGCTCAGGATATAGCTCAGTGCAGAGGCCCTAGGTTCAAGTCCCAGTACTACCACAAAAAGGGGGCAGAGACTGGGCGTGGTGGCACACACCAGTAATCCCAGCACTCGGGAGGCTGAGGCAGGAGGATCGCTGTGAGTCCGAGACCAGCCTGAGCTACATAGTGAGTTCCAGGTCAGTCTCAACTACATAGTGAGATCCTGTCTCAAGGGGGGTGCATACGTGCTGAATGACAACATGGGTAACCATTGGGGCATCCCTGGGAATGGCCTCCCAGGCTTTCTGGAGGGCAATAGGTAAGAACAGTGCAGACCAGAGCCTGCCACCTGCCGTGCAGGGAGCCTCAGGAAGGCTGCTGGGGAGGCCTTGGTGCCCAGCACCTGGTGAGGGGGTGGCTTCCAGAGTCAGGTGTCAGTGGCAGCCATTCCTTGGACATGGTGTTACCACCCCTGCCCACTGCCGCCTGTTCCCTCCAGATCGTGGGCTCCCGGCTACGGATCCCCCAGGTGACCCCAGCAGACTCCGGGGAGTACGTGTGTCATGTCAGTAACGGTGCTGGTTCACAGGAGACCTCTCTCATCGTCACCATCCAGGGCAGTGGCTCCTCCCAGGGTGAGAGGGCAAGGACGGGTCTTGGAAGGTGGGTGCGTGTAGGGCGAGGAGGTGCCCAGCACCATCACTGTGGCCTGACTTTTCCTGCATTGTCCACCACCTGTCCCCAGTGCCCAGTGTCTCCCCACCAATCCGGATCGAGTCCTCGTCCCCCACAGTGGTGGAAGGGCAGACCCTGGATCTGAACTGCGTGCTTGCCGGGCAGACCCAGGCTACCATCACCTGGTACAAGCGCGGGGGCAGCCTGCCTGCCAAACACCAGGTATGGACTGGCGCCACAGGCGCAAGGACCCTGCTCTCCTGCGGTGAGCACGAGGGACTGCCCAGGGCTCGTCCTCACACCCAGGACACTCAGCACATCCTGGCCATGGGGCCCCACCCAGCTTCCTCTCTCCTTCCCACCCCCCAGACCCACGGCTCCCACCTGCAGCTGCACCAGCTGTCTGTGGCTGACTCTGGCGAGTACGTGTGCCGGGCCAACAACAACATCGATGCCCAGGAGGCCTCCATCATGGTCTCCGTCTCTCCCAGCACCCACAAACCCTCCGGTGAGTCTGATGAAGACCTTTGTCCCAGGAAAGGGCCGGGATGACCCAGGTAACAGTGTCCCTGAGGAGAATGAGCCTTTGCATTAGTCTTCAGACGGGTCAGTGGTCAGGGCAAGGGCTCTGCACAGTCAAGGGAAAGGGCATTACTCTTGCCTCTTGGCCTTGTTCTCACCATGAGTAAAACGGGGACGTTGATTATTCTGACTTCAAAGAGTCACACTATCTTCTGTGGTGTTCTTAGACAGGTGTAGGAGTTAAAATTAAATAAGATTTAAAATTCTGTTTCTGTTGGGTATGGTGGCACGTGCTTGTAATGCTAGCACTAAGGATGCTGAGGCAGGAGGATCACAAATTCTAGGCCAGCCTAGGCTACATAGTGAATTCAAGACTAGCCTAGACTACATAGCAAGACCTTGTCTCAAAATAAATTTAATAATGAAAATTTCCATTTCCAACCTGTCAAATGCTCTGTTGCCCTGGGACTGCTGCCATTGTCTTGGAAATGCAGATAAAAGGGCATTTATTTTATTATAGGAAGTGTGTGAATTTGAAAGGTTTGATGAGTTAACATGTATAAGGTGGTTCAAACACTGTGTGGTGAACTGTGAATATTAGTGTTAACTGTGTCTGTCCCCGGGGCCTGGGCTTTTCTGTGACTGAGGACCCTAAAACTCTGCTCCCAAATCTTAACATGGCCAAGCCCTGACCTGCTCCTCTGTGTTCCTAGCCCCCGGAGGTGCTGGGCCCATCCAAATTGAATCATCATCTTCACACATAACTGAAGGGCAGACTCTGGATCTGAACTGTGTGTTTCCCGGGCAGGCTCATGCCCAGGTCACGTGGCACAGGCGCAGGGGCAGCCTGCCCGCTCACCATCAGGTATGGGTAGCAGGAGATGGTTGGAGGGCTGCTGTGGCTGGGCCTTGGCCTACTGCATCCACCTAGGTCACAGGTCGGAGCCTGGCCCCAAGCCTGCAAGGAATCAGATTGGCCCCTGACACTGCCTGCTGTCTCCCTGTCCTGCCCCACTCAGACCCATGGCTCCAGGCTGCGGCTGTACCAGGTGTCCCCAGCTGATTCGGGCGAGTACGTGTGCCGTGTGCTGGGCAGCTCTGGTCCCCAGGAGGCCTCAGTCTTGGTCACCATTGAAGCCTCTGGCTCTAGCACTGTCCGCGTCCCTGGTGAGTGTCCTGCATGGAGCTGAGAGGCTGGAGAGGGAAAGCAGGTAGCAGCAGGCAGAGCTGGGCAAAGGAAATGCTGTCTGGCACCTGGAGACAGCTGCCCTCTAATCCCAGACTTGAATCCCCGGCCCACCCTCACCCTGGCAGGAGGAAGGGCCCAGCCAGAGGTGTGGTTCCTGTCCACTTAAGGGCCCAAGTACAAGGCTTAGAGTCTGGTATCTGCTGCCCTGAGTCCCAGCTCTGTGTCCCCTCAGAGATGTTACACAAGGACTTCCTCTTTCCGCGTCACTGTCCTCAGCTGTAAAGGGGTACAGTACAGCTTTTGCCCCCTACTATCTATGGAGTCAGTAGCAAGTTCCCTGAAGCCTGGACCTGTGTCCCCACGGGTATTACTGAGTGACTTTGGGGTGGTGCCCCAGGAAAGATCTTTATTGGCCCTACAGGTGGATTAAGGAAAAAGACATAGCATCAGATCTGCCACAATTTCATGGAAATCATTGCCTGTAAGGGGGCTCAATATCTCAAATGTTTTACTGTTCATTGAAAGGAAGATGTGCAGTAATTAATGGTGTGGGGGCTATGCCCTGGCAGCAGTCATGTTAGAACACATTCACGCATAACTCATTTTATCCTCACATAGCCTTGGAGATCCTTACAGTCATTCTTACAGGTGGGGAAACCGAGGCACAAAGAGATGACATTTTCCAAAAGTCACATAGCCAATAAGTGGCCGATCTAGGATTTGAAATCAGGCACTCTGACTCCAGAATCTGGATTCTTAGCTATGCACTTCTGGAGCTTAGGAAATGTTAGTGAATGAATGGAGCGGCCTCCGGCTGCAGACTGGCCCAACTGCCCTGATTGCCCCAGACCTGAGTACCGAGTGGGAAATGGACGGATGCCACTCGCTGGTGGCCTCTGGTCTGCACATTAGGGCACCTGGGGGAACAGCTGGGCACCCAGGGGTGGGAGTCCCTGCTACTGACCCCTTGCTGTGCCCCAGCCACAGGTGGTGCCCCACCCATCCACATAGAGAAGTCCTCCTCTCGAGTGGCTGAAGGGCAGACCCTCGATCTGAACTGCGTGGTGCCCGGGCAGGCCCATGCCCAGGTCACATGGCACAAGCGCGGGGGCAGCCTGCCCGCCCAGCACCAGGTACGAGTCCTAGAAGAAGCAAGATGCACCCCTCCTCCCCAGCCATCCTTCCCGAGCGCAGGCAGAGGGAAGGTGTTCTCAGACGTGGGTTTAGGGAAATGTTGTAGCTCATCACTGGGGTCAGAGGTTGAGAAGGGCTGGGCACAGCAAGGCCACCACCAGCTCCACAGCACCCTGGTGTGAAGGAGAAAAGGATACCACTTACTCAAGACCTTTGACTTTGTCCTGTCAGCGAGAATGTCATACTAACCATACACTTCATGCTGTTTAATGTCAGAGGGGTTCACCTTGAATAGGATGCAGCCTGCTAAACTGCACAGCAGCCAGGGTACGGGTACCAGGAAGTGTGGGCATCTGGAGGCCTGAGCTACAGCCTCTTGGAGCCCCCTCTCAACCTTACCCACCTTGGCCAGGTCCATGGGCCCCTGCTGAGGCTGAACCACGTGTCCCCGGCGGACTCCGGCGAGTACTCATGCCAAGTGACGGGGAGCTCAGGCACCCTGGAAGCTTCTGTCCTGGTTACAGTTGAGGCCTCTAGCCCAGGCCCCATTCCTGGTGAGTGGCAAGGAGCTGGGGATGATGTTAGACACAGGCTGGAGCCCTGCTGGCCGTGCTCCTCCCTGCCCTTCTTTGGCAGGGGCGTCCTATGGTTGAGCATTGGGTCCGCCCAGGTCGTCCCAGATATGACTAGCAGAGGGGCTGGGGACTTAGCTCAGTACTTCTGCCGCCTGCCTCTTAAGTGTAAGGTCCCAAGTTCAATCCCCGGTACCAAAAAAATGACTATAGCAGGGCTCCCACCTATGGCTTTGGGTCCCTGGGCTCTGGCAGTCCTCCAGCCGCTCCCCTCTGCCCGTGGGAGACCAGGGTCTCAGCCCATCTTCATTCCCAGGCATAGGAGACCCTCTTAGGTCCTGTAGCTTAGCAAGTCATTCACTCTCCGGCCTTGGCACCTCCCGAAGGACCAGCCAGCCTTGTGACATGGCTGGGGTCCCTAGGAGCCTGCCTCTCTCTCACCTAGCCCTTGTCCACAGCCCCAGGACTGGCCCAGCCCATCTACATCGAGGCCTCCTCCTCCCACGTGGCTGAAGGGCAGACCGTGGACCTGAACTGCGTGGTGACCGGGCAGGCGCATGCTCAGGTCACATGGCACAAGCGCGGGGGCAGCCTGCCCACCCAGCACCAGGTAGGGGCACCAGGCAGGAAAGGTCCAATCTGTAGTTGCTTTCTGCCCCCAAACCTCAGAGATTCCAGCCTGCACGGGGACTGTGAGGACAAGAAATCTGTCAGGCTTTCCTTCCCGTCCTGCTGCACTCTTCTTTTGAGCCACAGCTTCCCCTCTGTAAAGTTGGCCCACTGGGCTTCTGGGATCTGCAAGTGAAGCTTCTTCCCGCTTCTATACCAGGACCCCTGAAAGCACAGCCACACTTGGGGACTTGCCCTGTCGTGGTTGCCCTGGCCTGATGCTTCCTTCTCCCCGGCAGACCCATGGCTCCCGGCTGCGGCTCCACCACGTGTCCCCTGCTGACTCTGGAGAGTACATCTGCCGGGTGGCTGGTGGCTCAGGCTCTGAGCAGGAGGCCTCCTTCACGGTCACAGTCACCCCCAGCTCTGGGTCTTCCTACCGTGAGTGTGCGGGAGCAGAGAGGGGGACCCTGGAGCACAGGCAGGGCCGCCCCAGGAAGCCAACCACCCCGACTGAGCCGGCCCACTCCGCTCTGCCTCCAGGCCTCCGCAGCCCTGTCATCTCCATTGACCCACCCAGCAGCACGGTGCACCAGGGCCAGGATGCCAGCTTCAGGTGCCTTATCCATGAGGGGGCACTGCCTATTAGCCTAGAGTGGAAGACCCGGAACCAGGAACTGGAGGGTGAGTGAGGGTGAGTGGTAGGGTGGTGACAGCCGGCGGGCAGGCAAGAGGCACTGAGCATGAGGGACTCATGCAGGATTCACGCATGGCCCTGGGCAAAATCCATCTACCTGGTGAAGGGCTTGGTCCAGGAGTCCCCGAGGCTCTTCTGCCATCTCTGACTCCGTGTCATATACCCAGGCCCAAAGAGTTGGGCCATGGGGCAGTGGGCACCCACTGGCAGCACCAAGGCAGGAGAAGGGCAGGGTGGACACTCATTGACTTTCTCTCCCCAATGCAACCCCCAGACAACGTCCACATCAGCCCCAATGGCTCTATCATCACCATTGTGGGCACCCGGCCGAGCAACCACGGGGCCTATCGCTGCGTAGCCTCCAACACTTACGGTGTGGCCCAGAGTGTTGTGAACCTCAGCGTGCAAGGTGAGGACGGGTCAACTTGTAGCTCCGCATTCCCATTTCCGGCCCTGATACCCACGTCGGTTTAACTCCTGCCTCTGCGCCTACTTCCATCTTGGGCATCCTCTCTGAGCCCGAGTTTCCAGTGGCTCAGCTTGGGGCCTGCCGGTGGGTCAGCTGTGGCTGTTTTTCTGGCAGGGCCCCCTACAGTGTCCGTGCTCCCTGAGGGACCGGTGTGGGTGAAAGCAGGAAAGGACATCACCCTGGAATGTGTCAGTCCTGGGGAGCCCCGCTCCTCTGTCCGCTGGACCCGGGTGGGCAGCCCTGCAAGGATCGAGCCGCGGACATATGGGCACGTGAACAGCCACGCGGTGCTAAAGGTGAGGTCAGGTCTTTCCTCCTCTCTGTCCACCTTTCCAGGACCTCGCCTTGAGCAGGCACTTGGAGGAGGGCGCAGCAGGTAGAAGATGAATGGATGGGAGGGATGGGGTAGGTAGGTGGTGCGTAGATCAGAAAATAGGAGAGATTCGGTGCCTGCCTCGCAAGCGCAAAGACCCAAGTTTGACCCCTTGTACCGCCCCCCCCAAAAAAGAAAAAGAAAATAGGAGAGAGCAACAAAGGTAGGAGAAGGAAAAGAAGAAAGAATGGACACAAAGATGGTCGGGTAGGAAAAGAAATGGGGGTGGCCTGATGGCCAAGTAGATGGATCACTCCTGGGGTGGCATGAAGGTGGGCCCCACAGCAGCCAGACAAGAGAGCCAAAAACAAAGGGAAGAGCAGTGGCAGGGGCTGCGGCCCAGCACGCACATAACCAGTCTCCTCACTCGCACCTAGATTTCATCAGCTAAACCATCTGACGCAGGCACCTACGTGTGCCTCGCTCAGAATGCCCTGGGCACAGCACAGAAGCGGGTGGAAGTGACTGTGGACACTGGTACTGCTGCCCCCGGAGCCCCCCAGGTTCAAGTTGAAGAAGCTGAGCTGACTGTGGAGGCTGGATACACGGCCACACTGCGCTGCTCAGCCACAGGTATGACCGGTGCGGGCTGCAGGCCGGCAGAGCCGTGGGGCCATGGGGCCCGGGTTGTAGACACAATATCTGAAGGCGTCATGTCCAAGAACCACTCACGTAATAGCGCCCATGGAGGGACAGGTCACCCAGGGGCCTTCCTGCCTCCCCACCCTTGTGCCCAGTGCTGTCGTCTGCTCTACCCCACAGGCAGCCCCCCACCCATCATCCACTGGTCCAAGCTGCGCTCCCCACTGCCCTGGCAGCACCGACAGGAAGGGGACACACTCATCATCCCCCAAGTAGCCCAGCAGGACTCAGGCCAGTACATCTGCAATGCCACCAGCCCCACCGGTCACGCTGAGGCCACCATCCTCCTGCACGTAGAGAGTAAGGCGCTCATCCCTGCTCCTTGGGCCTCTGTCTCTGCTCTGCGTGGAGACCAAGCTGCCCACTGCCATCCTGACCTCTCTCCTCATCTACCCAGGCCCACCGTATGCCACCATAGTTCCGGAGCAGGTGTCAGTGCAGGCTGGGAAGCCGGTGCAGCTGCAGTGCCTGGCTCACGGCACACCCCCGCTCACCTTCCAGTGGAGCAGGGTGGGCGGCAGCCTTCCTGGGAGGGCAACCACCAGGAGCCAGCTGCTGCACCTGGAGCCCGCCGGCCCTGAGGACGCTGGCCGCTACCGCTGCCAGGTCACCAACAAGGTGGGCTCAGCTGAGGCCTTCGCTCAGGTGCTTATCGAAGGTGAGCAGCAGGGCTCAGTATGGGCAGAGGGGTCAACTTTCCTCCAGACCCTTCAGCGACCCCACCACGGGCACTTGGGGACCTACACATGGCGGGGTAAAGGCCTCCCTGCATTGTCCACTGCAGTGCCATCTTCTCCCTGCTCTCCGAGGCCCAAAGTGGGCTGGCCTCCTCCCGGGAGACCCTCGATTGCTGTTCCCAGCCTCTCCAGCTCTCAGTACTGTTTCCTGTCCTTGGCACTGATCTTGCACTGCCAGAGGAAGCTACTGTGTTTACCTAAACACCTGGCCTGCCTCACCTGGCAGTCAGCCACGATGCCGGGGCAGGGCCTGCTCAGTCAGTCCCAGCAGCCCTGGGCTTGTCCTGCATCAGGCCCAGGATGGGCAGTGTCCATGCTTGTAGGAATGATAATAAATGAGTGACATTTATTAGGCCCACTCCTACCATGCCCATGTTTAAGTGGATTGCTGATGAATCCAGCGTTTCCATGGCTTCCTGCAAAGAATTCCTGAAAGTGTAGAAGCAGCAAAGCATGAAGCCCGCTGGTCAATAGCCTGGACTCTGGCCCACTTATGCAACATTGGCCAAGTCCTTTCACCTCAAGCCTCTGGTTTTTTTGTTTTGTTTTTTGAGACAGGGTCTCACTATGCAGTCGAGACAGACCTGGAACTCACTAGCCCAGTCTGGTCTCGAACTCACAGCAATCTTCCTGCCTCAGCCTCCCGAGTGCTTGGATTACAGGTGTGCACCACCACACCCAGCAAGCCTCAGTTTCTTCTGTAAAATGGAGAGAAAATGCCTCATAGTTTGCTTAGAAAAAAATACATGAGCTAGAAGTGGTGGCACAGGCTACAATCCTAGCACTCTGAGAGGTGGAGGCAGAGGGATTGCAAATTCAAGCCCAGCCCAAACATCTCAGTGACTTAGTGACCCTGTCTCAAAATTTTAAAGAATTAAAAAGGACTGGAAATGTAGCTCAGTGCTGGGCCCCCTGCATTCAGTCCCTAATACTGCAAAAAAAAAAAAAAAGCAAGTTATAAAGCCTATGGCTCATGAGGGCACTGGTTCAACCCTCTAGCCATCCCACCATGGCCAAGTCTCTGCATTCTTTTATTTTAGACCACGGCCAGAATCCCCTTCACTGTCCTACTCCCTTCTGCTCCTGTCTTGGCCACTTCTCGCGCCCCCACTCCCAAGGCTGGGAGCTGTGGAAGGAGCCCAGTGTCACACAGGCCCTCATGTGTGCTGGTTGAGTGACCACTCAAGGCGCGAATAAGAGGCCACCAAGAGAAGAACACCCTTCAAATATTGGATGATGTTTTCCTGGGTCCCAGGATGGCGGGGGTGTCGGGGACATGACAGAGATGCTTAGAAGCCAGGTGCAGTGTCACACACTTGTCCCAGCTACTCAGGAGGCAGAGATAGGAGGGTCACTCGAGGCTAGGAGTTCCAGACTAGCGTGGGCAACATAGGCAGACCTTCAAAGACCAAACAAAACAGAATATGCCTGGAACCTCATACATGTCTCCACAGGCCCCTCCGGCTCTCTCCCTGATACCCGTGGCCCAGCAGAACCCTCGCCCACCGTGCAGGTCACTCCACAGCTGGATACCAAGAGCATCGGGGCCAGCGCCGAGTTCCACTGTGCCGTTCCCGGTGACCGGGGCACCCAGCTCCATTGGTTCAAGGAAGGCAGTCAGCTGCCTCCTGGCCACAGTGTGCAGGACGGGGTGCTCCGGTGAGTAGTGGGGTGGGGTGGGACTGCCCTGGGCACCACAGCCTGGCTCACATGGGGCTGGGCCTGAAGTGAAGCCCTTGGGCAGGTCGCTTGACCTCCCTGAGCCTCTGTGTAATACAGGCGAACCGTGGTTCTCACACACACCTAGCACTTGCTTGGCCCTGGAACAAGTGAAGAAAGACAGTAGCTCCGTGACTTGGGAACTGTGACCTTAAGCTCTAGAGCAGCAGGTCTTTGTCTGGAACAGGTGTGGCACCCACCCCACCTGCCTGCCTGCCTCAGCAGTCAGTACAGGAGGCCAGAAGCTGGCCCTGGGTACTGACCTGTATGTCCCTTGCAATTGCAGAGTGTTCTCAATCAGTCTCACTCCCTGATCTCATTCTTTTTTCCTTACAGACTCCAGAATTTAGACCAGAGCTACCAAGGGACGTATGTTTGCCAAGCTCATGGACCTTGGGGACAGGCCCAGGCCAGTGCCCGGCTGATTGTCCAAGGTAGGGGTGTGGCTTAGGCCTCTGCTAAGAGCAGGGGCAGAGTGATGAGAAGGGAAAGGGGTGCAGGGCTCCAACCATATTCCCCAGAACACCCTCCAAGTGACCAGGTATGGTATCACACATCTTTTTTTGTTTTTTACTGGGGATCGAACTCGGGTCCTTGTATTTTCAAGGCAGGCAGCGGAACCACTGAGCTAAATCCCTGGCCCCTGTTGTCACGCATCTTAATCATAGCACTTGGGAGGCAGAGGCATGAGAATCACAAATTTAAACCCAGCCTGGGCAACTTAGCAACTCAGCATGATCCTATCTCAAAAGTAAACAAAGGGCTGGGAATGCAGCTCAAGGCAAAGGGCCTAAATTTAATCCTAAGTATCATAAAAAAAAATGCCTGAGACAGATGAAAGCCCAGGGCCCCCTTTCTGGGCATCGTTGGCCTCCCAGCCAGGCTGACCTCCTGTTGCCTCCTCCCCCAGCCCTGCCCTCTGTGCTCATCAACACCCGCACCTCCGTGCAGACTGTGGTGGTCGGCCATTCTGTTGAGTTCGAGTGCCTGGCGCTGGGTGATCCCAAGCCTCAGGTGACGTGGAGCAAAGTTGGAGGGCGCCTGCGGCCTGGCATCATGCAGAGCGGAAGTGTCATCAGGATTGCCCACGTAGAGCTGGCCGATGCGGGACAGTACCGCTGCACAGCCACCAACGCTGCTGGCACCACCCAGTCCCACGTGCTGCTGCTTGTGCAAGGTGAAGGCCACCAGGGATCTTGTAGAGGGAGCAGGACCCGGGCAGGGGCTTCTCATGCTGCCTTCTCTTCCCTGCCCTGCTTTTTTCTTCCTTTTGCTATCTTGGGGACCCTGAGGTACGTGTACTTAGGGGCCCAGACTTTACAGCAGATGATGGCACCCAGGGATAAAAGTGGATCCTCTGCCTTCAATTCCAGCCACTGGGGAAGCTGAAGCAAGAAGAGTGAAAATTTAAGGCTGGCCTGGGCAAATTAACAAGACTCTGTCTCAAAATTAAAAGAGCCCGGGAGGTAGTTGAGTGGTAGAACACTAGCCTAGGATGCACGAGGCCCTGGGTTCAATCCCTGACATTGCAAAGAAAATAAAAAGTGAGTACAGTGTATTTCCAGGGGCAGGCTGGGAAGTGCCATGCCATGGGCTGTCCAGAGGAAAAAAGGTCTGTAGTCCTCACCAAGAGGGAGTGCCCACCCTCACTAGGGAAAACCTACAGCTCAGTCAGATGGAACATTAACAAACAGCAGTCGGGAGGCTGAAGCAGGAGGATTGCTGTGAGTTCAAGGCCAACCTGAATTACATAGTGAGACTATCTCAAAAACAAAAACAACAACAAAAAAAAAACCTCATGCAATCATAAAACAAAGACAGGGGCCAGGGATTTAGCTTAGTGGTTCCACCGCCTGCCTGGCAGGCACAAGAACCCGAGTTCAATCCCCAGTACCAAAAAAATAGATAAAGCAAGGACAGCAGGCACAAGGAGGGCATGAACACTCCTTGGAAGGCAGTTCCTTTTTACCCCAAATCCTGTGACTGGCCCTAAACCTATTCGCCTATACTACCTTAGTCCTGTCTTCTCAGGTCCCCAGAGGGCTGTGCAATTTCACGGCCAGGCGAATTGCAGAGGTCTGGGGCTGTGGAGCCAAGTGGCCCTGTCCCCGAGCCCTGACTGCCCCGTGCCCTCACTGTGATCAGGAGTGAGCAGGTCCCTTGTCTCTGACATGGGCCACAGGAGCAGCATGCAGATGTGAGAGTTGGAGTCAGGGCACAGGCTGGGCGCAGTGGTAGCAGTGATTACACTGATGGCCTGGGTCTCTTCCCTTCACAGCCTTGCCCCAGATCTCAACACCCCCAGAGGTCCGAGTGCCTGCTGGTTCTGCAGCCGTCTTCCCCTGCATGGCCTCAGGCTACCCGGCTCCTAACATCACCTGGAGCAAGGTAAATGCTGCCGCACAGGGGAGGAGGGCCTGGCACAGCCAGTGCCCTGTGGGAGGTGGGGCCAAGGCCAGGGCCTCAATACTGGTGTTTGCAGCTGGATGGCGACTTGCCCCCCGGAAGCCGCCTGGAGAAAAACATGCTGATGCTGCCCTCGGTCCGGCCACAGGATGCAGGCACCTATGTCTGCACTGCCACCAACCGGCAGGGCAAGGTCAAGGCCTTTGCCTATCTGCAAGTGCCAGGTAGGACATTGCCCAGCCTTGAATTGGCAGTGCCCACCACTCTTCACTGGGCGCTCTCCCTAACTAACGGTGCTCTCTGCCGGCAGAGAGAGTGGTGCCCTACTTCACCCAGACCCCACATTCCTTCCTGCCACTGCCCACCATCAAGGATGCCTACAGGAAATTTGAGATCAAGATCACCTTCCGGCCAGATTCAGCTGATGGTGAGCAGGTGGCCAGGGCGGGAGGCCTCACGGAGAATCTGCCACCACGTGTGAGCCCAGCAGCCCCCATCCTGCCCAGCACCCTCACTCTCCTTGCCCAGAAGCCTGCAAACCTAGGGGCCTCCTACTTCCTCTCTCCTTCCTGTTTTCCTCATCCCACCTGGGTGACAGCCCGGCCTTTCCTGGTGCCTCTGCCTTGGTGCCTCTGTCCCATCTTCCTCTCCTGGTCTCTGCTGATCCCTCTGCCTCCTTATGCCACCTCTCACCCTTTCCTCTTCTCTTTTTCTCTCTGATCTCTTACGGTTCTCTGGCTTTCACTGTGCAGGCCTCCTCCTCTACTCTGGTGAGTCTCCACCTGTCTAGCCTTCTTCAGGTAGACCCCAGCATGTGCATGAAACTGCTTCTGTCTCTGTCTCAGGGCTCTCAGCAAGGTCCCTGAGATCGGAAGAGTTCCCTGGCCACCTACGGTGTGCTCAAGGGAGGGACCATAGCTGGAGCAGAAAGACTCAAGAAAGACTGGGTCATTCCAAGGGTGGGGGTGACAGGGAGCCTGTGGCTGGAGGGGGCCCTCACTGAGCTGTGCCCACCCAGGGATGCTGCTGTACAACGGGCAGAAGCGGGGCCCAGGGAGCCCCACCAACCTGGCCAGCAGACAGCCTGACTTCATCTCCTTCGGTCTTGTGGGCGGGAGGCCTGAGTTCCGGTGAGACCCTCAACCTCTCCGTCTGTAGGAGAGGGACAGGCGGGGGACTGGACTTAGGACATGAATCAGGCCTACATTACCCTGGACTGAGTCGTACAAAAGTGATTGTAGAGGAAGGTGGTCTCCCTTGGTGACCATCCAGTCTCCTAGAATAGACATGGCCTGGTAAGCCAGGCAGGGGAGGGAGGTACCAAAGACTTGTGACCGCTGTAGGCCAGGATCCAGCCAGCCAGCCAGCGCATGGCTGTCACTTGCCGGGCACTGGCGTCAGTATAAAGAGAACAGGTCAACTTCTGGCCTTGTGGAATTGTGCTTTAAGCCATAAATGGAGGAGAGCAAGGTCATCTCAAGAGAGGGAAACTGAGGAGCAGTAGACCAGGTGCCAGATGGCAGCAGCCTGGGGCCCAAGGGTCTTCCAGCCCTGTGGGCTGCTGTGGAACAGCTCCCAGGAAGAGGGGCAAGACCTAGGGAAGAGGCAGGATGGGCTGACTGGAGTGTGTGAGGGGAGAGGACAGGGCAGGGACAGGAACTGGGCATGGTGACACCCTTCCTCCGGCACACCGCCACCTAGGCCGGGCTGTTCCATGGACGTATCACAACCTCCGTATTCACCCTCTTCCGCCCCTGTCCTGCCCCATGGAGCAGGTTTGATGCGGGCTCTGGCATGGCCACTATCCGCCACCCCACACCGCTGGCCCTGGGCCAGTTCCACACCGTGACCCTACTGCGCAGCCTCACCCAGGGCTCCCTGATTGTGGGTAGCCTGGCCCCAGTGAACGGGACCTCCCAGGTGAGACTCGACCCTGTCCCCTATTCCTAGCCCCCAGCCCACACCTGCCCTGCCTGCCTGCCATTCCTGACCTCCCTCCAACCTCTGCAGGGCAAGTTCCAGGGCCTGGACCTAAATGAGGAGCTGTACCTGGGTGGCTACCCCGACTATGGTGCCATCCCCAAGGCAGGGCTGAGTGGCGGCTTCGTGGGTGAGCTTGTCCCCATCTCCCCTGCACCGAGCTGGGTGGAACTTCAGGGCATGGGCTGGGGCTGGCAGGCTCCCCCGCACCTCTGCCCCCTGCTCATCCTGCCCGCCTGCCCCCCAGGCTGTGTCCGGGAGCTGTGCATCCAGGGCGAGGAGATCATCTTCCATGACCTCAACCTCACAGCGCATGGCATCTCCCACTGCCCCACCTGCCGGGACCGGCCATGCCAGGTGGCCCCCTGCCCACACACCTGGCCATCGGAGCCATGGCTGGCCTTGGGGAAGAGGCAGGGCCAGATGGCCTTGGCCTGACCTCTGGCGGCTGCTTTGCAGAATGGAGGCCAGTGCCACGACTCAGAGAGCAGCAGCTATGTGTGTGTCTGCCCATCCGGCTTCACCGGGAGCCGCTGTGAGCACTCGCAGGCCCTGCACTGCCACCCAGGTGTGCCCTGCTCGGGTCACTGTTCCCCGAGGTGTTGCCCTCTTGTGTGTCACCCCCCTGCAGTGGCTGGGGTCCTTCCGTACCCCATCACTCTTATCCAAGGACTGGGAGCCAGGCTCTCATCCCAGCCCAGGCACTGCCCCCTGTGTCCCTGCCCCTTTCCCATCTTCCACCCAGGTGCCCCTCAGCCCACACTGCTGCCCAGGTGCATCATAAGCACTAGCAGACACGTGGTCGCCCTTCACAGCCCTGGCTCTCCCATGCCTGGCCTCCCTGCTCCTGGGCAGCCCTCCTAGGCTGGCCTGGCCCTAATGGCCACCTACAAGGGGCAGGGCATAGGCATCTGTATCCCCCCTCCTGAGTCACCTCAGCATCCTCACTGGCCGCTGTGCCCCCCAGAGGCCTGTGGGCCCGATGCCACCTGTGTGAACCGGCCCGACGGTAGAGGCTACACCTGCCGCTGCCACCTGGGCCGCTCAGGGATGAGATGTGAGGAAGGTAAGTAGAGCCGGTGTGACCCCCCCACCAGGTCTCAGTGACAGCTGGGGAGGTTGGGCAGGGCACTCAGAGGCCATGATGGACCCTACAGCTGATAAATTTATTCTGAACCAGAAGATCTCAAAATCCACTTTTCCTCTCCTGCCAGCCTGAATCCCTTATGGGAGGCCCACAAGGCTGGAGGTGCTCAGAGCCTGACCTGCAGAGCCAGGCCAGGGGCTCCTGGGCAGTGACAGCGGCTTAGCTGGTACAGAGCCTCTGAAATGGGGAGTGAGGTGGGCAAGGGTCTCAGGGAAGACTGAGTGGCCGGGTCCTGCCCAGAACCCCTTGGTCCCACTACCCCTGGCTGAGCTGCGACCGCTGCAGGTGTGACAGTGACCACCCCATCCATGTCGGGCACTGGCTCTTACCTGGCACTCCCTGCCCTCACCAACACACACCACGAGCTACGGCTGGACGTCGAGTTCAAGCCCCTGGTGCCCGATGGGATCCTGCTGTTCAGCGGGGGGAGGATCGGGCCAGTGGAGGACTTCGTGTCCCTGGCAATGGTTGGCGGCCACCTGGAGTTCCGCTACGAGCTGGGATCAGGTAGGCACTGAGCATCAGGTGCACATGGGTCTCGGGGTGACCAGCTGTGCCCTCCTTGACACTCCATGCACAAGGAGGCACAAAGGGATAAATCAGGCAGCCACACCCCTGAAGTCCCTGTTCCCATACCATCCCTGAGTGACTGAGCAAACCCTTGGCCATGGGTCCCTCACTGGGGAAATTCTCCGTGTGCTCAAGTCCTTGGGAGAGGAGGTCAGGACCAGATTCCCCCTGGTTCCTAACCATGCCCGTTGTCCCCTCAGGGCTGGCTGTCCTGCGGAGTCCTGAGCCTCTGGCCCTTGGCCGCTGGCACCGCGTGTCTGCGGAGCGCCTGAATAAGGACGGCAGTTTGCGGGTGAATGGGGGGCGCCCAGTGCTGCGCTCCTCGCCAGGCAAGAGCCAGGGCCTCAACCTGCACACCCTTCTCTACCTGGGAGGCGTGGAGCCCTCCGTCCCACTGTCCCCGGCCACCAACGTGAGCGCTCACTTCCGTGGCTGTGTGGGCGAGGTGAGCAGCACCCCCGGGGGATCAGAGGGGGTTGGGAGCAAACGGGTCCCTACCTCCTGACTGAGCCTGTTCCCTGTCTCTAAAGTGCAAGTGATAGTGACTCCTGGGCAGGGAGTGCTGAGGACTGGCACGCGGTAGGCACTCGGCTTCCGCACCCCCTCCCACACTGAGGAGCCCTCTCACCCCTCAGGCCCCTGCCCAAGTTCCCAGGCACCCCCACCCTCTGCATTCTTCCCCGCTGGCGCACTGTGCCTCTACCTCTGGCCCTCCAGCCCCTCGGTGTCCCTGCACCCACAGGTGTCTGTGAATGGCAAGCGACTGGACCTTACCTACAGCTTCCTGGGAAGCCAGGGAATTGGGCAGTGCTATGACAGCTCCCCCTGCGAGCGCCAGCCGTGCCGCAATGGCGCCACGTGCATGCCCGCTGGCGAGTACGAGTTCCAGTGCTTATGTCAAGATGGCTTCAAAGGTGCGAGCTGGCCTGGGACTCTAGGGGGCACAGGTGGTTGGTGGCACCTCCAGCCCCTGCCCACCCACCCACCTCTGCCCTGGCCTACAGGAGACCTCTGTGAACATGAGGAGAACCCCTGCCAGCTCCGTGAGCCCTGCCTGCATGGGGGCACCTGTCAGGGTACCCACTGCCTGTGCCCACCTGGCTTCTCTGGCTCACACTGCCAACAAGGTACCCAGGCCTGGCTTTCTTTCACCTCCCAGAGGGGCCCTGGGGCTGGACAAGTTCCCTGGGGGTCTGCACCCATCAACGGGACCCACCCTTTCCCACAGGGTCTGGACATGGCACAGTGGAGTCCGATTGGCATGTGGAAGGCAGTGGGGGCAATGGTACGTACCTGTTATGGCTCTGTGGGCACCCAGGGCGGCCCTGTGAGCTCATCTCCTCCTTACCTCAGCCTCTCAGCCTTTTCTTCTCTTCTGATTACCTGTACTTCCGCTCCAGTCTCTAAGCAAAAAGGCCTAGGTGAGGGGCTAGCTGAATATAGACGAAAGGAAAGCACAGCCACACAGAGCTGGGACCTGCCCCAGGTTTACTGGCGAGATGACCTTGAGCAGCTCTTTGAACCGCTCTGACCTCAGTCTCCTGTGCTGATACAATCAACAAACACCTACTGTGTGCCCACCTCCGCCTAGGGGCAGTAAATATAACATGAATAATCAGGACCCTCACTCTGAAGGGTTCTAGTGTCTGTATTAAAATGAAAATAAAGATGCCAGGCATGGTGGCGCAAGCCTATAATCCCAGCACTCGGGAGACTGAGGCAGGAGGATCACCATGAGTTGGAGGCCAGCCTGGGTGACATAGTGAGTTCAAGGCCGACCTGAACTGCATAGTGAGACCCTGTCTCAAACGCACACACACATTAAAAAAAAAGCAAAATCTTTTTTTAAAGGGCTTTGGGGATGTAGCTTAGTGCAAAGCCTCTGCGATCAGTTCCCAGTACCATACACATAGGCAAAAAGGACTGGGAATGGGCCCACTTGGAGAGTGCTTGCCTAGCATGTATGAGGGCCTAGGGGTTTGACGACCAGTACCACAGAAAAGTAAGTAAACACAGTATGAATGTTTGTTGAACATTTATAGGGACTGTGTTAAGTCCTTTACAGATACACCCTTCTGATCACTAATAAAAAGAGAGGCCGTGATACAGTGGTTAACAGTTTGGACTCAAGCCAGCCTTCCCGGGTTCAGGTCTGGGCCTTGCCATTTACTGTGTGACTTAGGGTGAGTCACTTAATCTCTCTGTGCTTCAGTTTTCCAATGTATAAAAATGGAGAGAAGTATAAGGTTTTTAATCCCTACGGCTTTGGATAAATTAACTCCTAGGGTTGTTACAAGGACTCCACTCAATGAAAGGATGTTTGCAGTTTCAGTGGGAAGCTCCCTGCACAGGCACACAGCAGTTACCCTAATTGTTTGGGGGAAGTGGTTGAGCGCTTTTTGCAGCTGCCAGGCCTTCTGTGGCCACACCGGCCTGTGGGCTGGGTCGAGAGCAGGTGGTAGTGGGGATGGTGCAGCCACACAGTGCAGACACTGGAGCTGAAAGGCCCAGGTTAGGATCCCAGCTTCCCAGTTCTGGGCAACCCCTCCTGCTCCATGAGGCAGAGGGAATGCATGGGCTCTGGACCTGATTGCCAAGGCCCAGGGTGACCAGTTGACCCAGTCTCAGAGCTAAAACTAAAGGAACATGGCAGACAGGGAGGTGAAGCCAACCAACTGCATAAAATAAGATACAGAGGCCGGGGATTTAGCTCAGTGTTTGCGCCACCTGCCTTGTAAGCACAAGGACCCGAGTTTAATCCCCGATACCAAAAAAAAAAAAAGATACAGAGGATTTCAAAGGAAACCAGTTAGACTGAATAATAATAAAGTTACCAAAATATTTGTAGGCTCCTAATATGTGTTTCTTTATTAGCACAGTAAATAAGTCATAAGCATGAGCAATATTTTGAAATATTCGCAGCGACTTCAATGTGCTAGACAAATATTAGGGACAAAGTTCCAGGCCCTCCTGCTACTGCTCTGGCTGGCTTCCAACGGCCATAATTGAAGGAACTGCTCGATGTCAATAAGTGAGTGAAAACAAGAGACGTGAGGTTTTCCTGTCCAGTTCAAGGCCCCTCGAGTTCCGTTGGTGGCCCCTTTGGGGTAGTACCAAGGGACCACAGGTTCAGGGCCCTGTCATGGAGCGGAGGTGGGGGCCGGGGATCCCACTGGGGGCCGCCCTGCCCGGTGAGCAGGTATCTCCCCTCCCACCCCTACAGATGCCCCCGGGCAGTACGGAGCCTTCTTCCAGGACAATGGCTTCCTAGCCCTTCCCAGCCGAGTCTTCTCCCGGAGGTAGGACAGGCCCAGGTTGGGGAGGACAGGAATTGGAGGCTTCTGGCCTCTCACCACTCACTGCCCCTGCAGCCTGCCCGAAGTGCCCGAGACCATCGAGCTGGAGGTCCGGACCAGCACAGCCAGTGGACTGCTGCTCTGGCAGGGCATGGTGAGTGGGCACTAGGCGTGGAGCCTATAGCATCAGGGACCTCAGCTCTGCAGGCTGGGCACCCTAAGACCCTGTGCTTCCTTGGAAGGAGACAGGAGAGACCAACCGAGGGAAGGACTTCATCGGCCTTGGACTGCAGGACGGCCACCTTGTTTTCAGGTGGGTCTTGGCACCCTGTCCTTCCTTCCCCCACCCGCTCCTCCCACGGGCAGCTGCCCTGCCAGTGCCCCAGCCACATACTCCCCCCTCCCTGCCCCGCACCACCAGTCCTGTGCCAGCTCGCGTCTCACGGGCCTCTGTTACTCCAGCTACCAGCTGGGCAGTGGCGAAGCCCGCCTTGTCTCTGAGGACCCTGTCAATGACGGCGAGTGGCACCGGGTGACAGTGCTGCGGTAAGCAGCCCAGCCAGGCCTTAGGGAAAAGCACTAGAGTCCTGTAGGGGGTGGGATGCCCCCATCATGGGCAGGGAGGTAGTCACCGAGCTCTGCAAGACAGCAGGAAGTTGGGGCTGGGGAGCTCCCGGGTCAAACCAGAGGTGTGGGCTCTACACACCCTGTGGGATGGAGGGGAAGTGGGGGGTGGGGGGTGGCTCAGCTGCGTTTGCAGAGCCAGGCCTGTCATGGGGAGGGCAGGGAGCAGGGCTTGGCCCATGTGTCCAGAGTCTGCATGCCCAGGGAATGGTTTCCATGGGTGGGCTGGAAGGGTGGGAATCCAGGCTGGGCAGGGGGCCTGACCCAAGTGCCCTGCAGAGAGGGCCGCAGAGGCTCCATCCAGGTTGACGGCGAGGAGCTGGTGAGCGGCCAGTCCCCGGGCCCCAATGTGGCGGTCAATACCAAGGGCAGCGTGTACATCGGTAAGTCCTGGGCTGGCCTGGGGTAGGGCAGCCCGCCGAGGCCAAGGAGAGCGTGGTGGTCCTGCTCTGCGGGCTTCCTGGGCTCCTGGCACCTCCCACCGCTCTGGCTCCCCTGCCCACAGGCGGAGCCCCAGATGTGGCCGCACTGACCGGAGGCAGGTTCTCCTCGGGCATCACAGGCTGTATCAAGAACCTCGTGCTGCACTC